AAGTTACCGCGACAGCATCGGGATGCAAGAATACCCCGAGCCCCCGTGGGAGGTCTCGAGCCCATAGTCTCTGCAACTCCCCGCATGGATCCAGGGTCGCGGCTAACCGCCGCTCTGGGTTGAGAGAGGACGGAGCGACCGCGGAGGGTGGCGGCAGACGGCCCTTGGCAGACAGCACCGGGATACACGAGTACCCTGAGCTCCCGCGGGATGTCTCGAGTCCGAAGTCTCTGCAACTCCCCGCATGGATCCAGGGACGCGGCAAACCGCCGCTCTGGGTTGAGTGAAGACGGACCGTGCACGGGGGGAGGCGGCAGACGGCCCTTGGCGGACAGCGCCGGGATGCAAGAGTACCTCGAGCACCCGCAGGAAGCCACGTGCCCGTAGTCTCTGCTGCTCCCCGCGTGCATCCGGGGTCGCAGCTAACCGCCGCTGAGAAGAACGTAATACCGAACGGCCGATCTTTCCGTCCACTGCTGGTGTGGCCCATGGCGGGCAGTCTGCAGCCGGTGGACTGACTCGCTGAGGGCAGCGCTGCCACCTCGAAGGCCGACGCACCCATGGGGGGTGTGTGGTGGCACATCCAGGGAAGCCGCTGACCGCTGCTGAAGTGTAGAGAGGAGGTGTCGTGCCCGTAGTCTCAGCTGCTCCCCGCGTGGATCCAGGGTCGCGGCTAACCGCCGCTCTGGGTTGGGCGAAGACGAAGCGCCCACGGAGGGTGGCGGCAGAAGGCCTTTGTAGGCAGCACCGGGATGCAGGAGTACCCTGGGTCCCCGAGGGGCTCCTTCTACACCCGTCGCATCTGCCATTCCCCGCGGGGATCCATCTCTCTTCTCCTGTGTCTTCGTGCCCAGTCAGACAGCACTGGGATGCAAGAGTACCCTGTGCCCCCGCGGGACGTCTTGAGCCCGTAGCCCACGCTACTCCCCGCATGGATCCAGGGTCGCGGCTAACCGCCGCTCTGGGTTGAGTGAGGACATACCGGACGGTCCATCTTCTCGACCACTACTGGTGTGGTCCAGGGTGGGCGGTCTGCAGCCAGTGGACTGACTCGCCGAGGGCAGGGCTGCCACCTCGAAGGCCGACGCATCTATGAGGGGGGGGTGCATCCAGGGTCGCAGCTAGCCGCTGCTGAAGTGTAGAGGGGAGGTCTCGCGCCCGTAGTCCCAGCTGCTCCCCGCGTGGATCCAGGGACGCGGCAAACCGCCGCTCTGGGTTGAGTGAAGACGGAGCACCCGCGGAGGGTGGCGGCAGACGGCCCCTGTCAGACAGCACCGGGATGCAAGAGTGCCCTGAGCCCCCGTGGGATGTCCCGTGCCCGTAGCCTCTGCAACTCTCCGCATGGATCCAGGGTCGCGGCTAATCGCCGCTCTGGTTAGAGAGAGGACGGAGCGACCACGGAGGGTGGCGGCAGACGGCCCTTGGCAGACAGCACCGGGATGCACGAATACCTTGAGCTCCCGCGGGATGTCTCGTACCTTGTGGTCTCGGAGACCGGGGATCAGGGAGCAAGGGTACATCATTCTGACCCGTTCCGCTCCCTTCTGGACTGACGGACCCTGTGTCTTCTTGTGGGGTCGCCAGGGAGCAGGGGTACCTCCTTCTGACCGTCAGAGAGGGTGCCTTGAGGTCTCGCGGGTCCCTCGTCACCAGGGTTGCGGCAGACGGCTGTCTGAACCGTTGTGGGTCTCTGCAGCTGCTGCTGCTGCTGCTGCTGTTGCTGCTGCTGCTGCCGCTGCCGCTGCAACTGCAGCTGCTGCTGCAGCTGCGGGTGATGCTGCTGGGTTCCAGGGGTGCCCTGCTGCTGCCGCTGCTGCTGCTGCAGCTCCTGCTGCTGCTGCTGCAGCGACTGTTGCTGCTGCTGCTGCTGCTGCTGCTGCTGCTGCTGCCCGCGGGGCTGGCAGTGAGGCTGGCCACGGGGCTGGCCGTCGGGCTGGCCGTGGGGCTGGCTGTGGGGCTTCCCGGGCTCGCTGGGAAGCTGGCCGTGGGACTGGCCGTCGGGCGGGCCGCTGGGCCGGCCGCGGGGCGGGCCGTAGGGCGGGCCGCGAGGCCAGCCGTGGGGCCGGCAGTTGAAGTGGCCACGGGGCGGGCCAACCGCCTCGGCGGCGCCGGCCACCGCGCCAGCCGCCGCCGCCGCCGGCGGGGGGCCGGCAGCGGCGGCAGCGACAACCGCCGCGACAGCGGCCGCCATGCCGGCCGCGGCGCCGCCGGCCGCCGCCGCCGCCAAAGAGGAGCCGGCGGCGGGGCAACGGCGCGGCGGCGGCGGCGGCGGCGCAGCGCGGCGGCCGCAGCGCCGGCGGCCGCGGGGCGGCGGCGGCGGCGTCGCGCCCCCCGCCGCGCGCCGCCGCCGGCGGGGGGCCGGCAGCGGCGGCGGCAGCAGCAGCAGCGGCCGCCGGGCGCGGGCCCAGGCCAGGCGGCCCGCCGCGGGCGGCGGCAGCCAGGTCTGCGGCGCCGCCGCCGCCAGCCGCCGCGCGCGCGCCAGCCTCCGGGAGGAGGCGGCAGCGGCGGCGGCAGCAGCAGCAGCCAGGAGCGGGCCCAGCCCGCGGCAGCCAGGTCCGCCCGCCGCCGCGCGCGCGCCAGCCTCCAGAGGGGGAGGCGGCGGCGGCGGCGGCAGCAGCGGCCGCCAGGAGCGGGCCCAGGCCACGCGGCCCGCCGCGGGCTGCAGCAGCAGGGCGGCGCCGGCGCCGAGGCCAACGCGGCAGGCCGGGCGCGGCGCGTACCTGGAACCGGGGCGTGCTCGGGCCGAGACGGCTTGAGCCGGGGGGGCTACGGACGCTGGTTGGATACGCGAAGCGTCAAGAATTACGCTGCGCCCGCGCCACCAGGGCAGCGACTCCTTGTGAGTTGGCTGCCCCTGCGCTCACAGGACCAAGTCTCCAGCACCTGGTACGTTACGCTGGGCTCGCGCTCCGCGGGCCACGCTGCCTAGCAAATGACTATGGGTTGGCGCTCCCAGGGCCACGACCCTTTGCAAACTAAACTGGGTTCAGGCTCCTAGGACCTTTGCAAACTAAACTGGGTTCAGGCTCCTAGGACCACGGTCCCTCGTAAAGTTCGCTGGGCTCGCGCTCCGAGGGCCACGATCCCTCGTAAATCATGTGTCCGCGCCCCCAGGGCCACGATCCATCATACATTAGAATAGAATGGCTTCGCGCTCCCAGGGCTACAGTCCATCGTAAAACGCGCTGAATTCGCCCTCCCATTGCCACGATCTCGTGTACAGCTCAGTTCGCTATGTCCGCGCCCCGAAGGCCAAGATCTATCGTAAAGTATGCCGCGTCCCCGCTCCCGAGGCCACGATCCCATATTGATTGCGGTGCCCCCGCGCTCCCAAAGCCACGATCTCTCGCAAACTACGCTGCGTCCGCGCTCCCAAGGTCACGAAGCACCGCGCGGAGGTTGCTCTGGGGAACCCCCCTCTCCAGAGCAGAAGCCAGTACTTTTTGGAGTGGGATATGTGTTCAGGGGGGGGGTGTTTAAGCCCCTCCCGCCATTTCCTGAAAATCATGACACGCTGGACCCGAAGCACCGAACCCTTATACGTTACACTGCATCCGCGCGCCCAAGGCCGCGATCCCTCGCGGCGGATTCGCGCGCTCAAGGCCACGGTCCCTTGTAAATCACACTGAGTTCGCATTCCCAGGGCCACGAATCCTTGCAAACTGCCGCGGATTCGCGCATCCAGGGCAGCGATCCCTCGTAGATTACGCTGGGCTCGCGTCCGAGGGCCACGACCCCATCCCTTGCAAGTTCACTTGGATTCGTGCTGTCAGGGCCAAGATCCTCCCTTGCAAATTACGCTGCGTCCGCGCTCCCGGGGCCACAGCCCCTTCATTTTGTGTTGTTGTTGTTGTTTTGCGCGGGGGCGGGGGATCCCGAGCACGCGACCGCCAAACGACCTATGTGTGTTCAGGCGCCGAGCAAAAAAACAGGGGTGCGCGAGGACGGGTGCAGCCGAGGCCCTGGCCGAGCCCAGGGCCACAGCCCCTTCATACATTATACAGTGTCCGCACCCCCGGGGCCACGATTCCCTGTAAATTACAGCGTGCCCGCGCCTCCAGGACAAGGATCCCTCGTCAACTAACGCTGCGTCCGCGCTCCCGGGGCCAGGCTCCGTCGTAGATTACGCCGCACATGGACATCAAAGGGCGCCCAGGCCTTTCAGGCGCTGCAAAACGAGCTTTTTCGCTCGAGACATCCTCGGACATTCGACACGCAGGGCGCACCATCCTCGAGCGGGCACACAAACAGCCAGCATTCCTTCTGCAAGACAAGCGCGGTGTTTGAGACCTCCTCGAAATTCCTGCGCGCAGGACGCGCCATCCTCGAGCGGGCGAGCAAAACAAGTTACCTTTTTCCAGATTTGGCTGTAAAATCTTAGAGTCCCCGAACCTCGTTATCTAGTGGGGATTCTGCGCAAAACGCTCCACATCCTCTTGTTACAAAAGAAAGCGGGGGTCTGCGGACCCCGTTAGGCAACGAGGATCCGAGAGGGGGGGAAACACATTTTCCTCGAATGGCGGCCACTGGAAGTGTGGGACTGCAACACGGAAAAGACACGAGGGAAGACACACAACAAGGTGAAGCGGCGGCGTGGGTGGCCTCCTATCAGCAGGGACGTCCTAAGGACGTGCCACTCGCTGTATGCGCGCGTGGCCCCAAGAAGTACAGGTGGCGACTGCCCTCATGAAGACAAACTCAACATGAAGTATAAGGGGGAAAAAGCGTACGGCTGGGGATCACAGGGCCATCCCGTGCCTCACAATGTTGATCACTGCACGAGGGGGTCCCTGAGGTTGGCTGCCAGGCTCGAAATGAAAGCCTGGGCCAACTCGGCGCAGTGAGGGCCCTGAAGACTCCGGCTCACGCATCAAAATGACGAGGAGAGGTAGGAAAGCAATGCCGCACGAAGATGGGCGTCTGCAACATCACTTGACGGCCCTCCTACTCCTATCCTCCACCACCTCCTCCTCCTCTTCGCCTGTCATCGCCTCGCAGGCTCAGTACTCGAGGGGAAAGGTGAAGTTATCCCCGTCCGAAGTCTGCATGACGATGAGGGAGGTGCACGTCGACACCGCCATTATGCCGGGCCCGAACGCGATGGCCGAGTCCTGGAAGGCCACCCCCGTGGTCAGGGTGGAGAGCACCTGGAAGTCGCGGTTCCGCCCCGTGGGAGACCCCCACTTCTGCAACACCCCCACCTGGTTACCGACGTAGAAGTCGCCGTTGGAGTCGATGACCGGGCTGGACCAGGAGTTCGGCACGCACGCGGCGCGGCCGCCCATCGCCCTCCGGATGTCGCCGCCCTCCCTGTCTCCCGCGCACATGCCAGACCACAGCGTCGGGCCCTCCCTCTCCAACCGGAAGTGGCCATTGTTCGGGTCGAGGATCAAGAGCCCGGTGGGGGAGTTGTACCTGCAGTTGTAGCCCAGGGTGACCACCAGCCTGGTGTGGCCCGCGGGGCTGTTCAGGAAGCCGACGGCGCCGCTGGCTGGCGGCTCGCGGGTCTCGTACTCCCACATCTTCCTGCCCGAAGTCGCGTTGAGGCCGTAGATCATACCTGGAGAGCCAGGCCACGTGTTGCAGTGGGGCAGGACACCCGGCGCAGGGTAAGGGTTGCAATACTTGTGCTCGTACTCCTTGGCGCCCATCGCGAAGAACCGCTCGGAGGCCGCGTCGTACACGGCGGCGGCGCTCGTGTAAGTACCCATACCCTTGGAGGCGCGGAACTTCCACACCAGCGCGCCAGTCTTGAAATTGAGGCAGTACGCGTTGGCCTCGAAGTCCTGGAACATGACGGTGTCGTTGGGGCCCCACTGCGGCACCATGTTCCACACAGGCGACCGCGTCTTGTAAGACCAGAGGGCGCTGCCGTCCGCTGCGCTGAGGCCCCTCACGATGGAGTTGCTCGGCGTGAGTGGGTTCGTCTGGTTGCGGTACCGGTAGCAGTACCGGTCGGTGCAGCGGTTGGTCGCGACCACGACCACCCCGTCCTTGGCGCCAACGGCCCCCTTGACGCCCGCGATCTGCTCGGAGGCCTGGGTCGCCCAGATCTCCTCCCCGTCGCTGAGCCCGACAGCGAACACGTAGCCAGAGGTGGTGCTCCCGACGAGCATGGGCGGCAGAGTGGCCGCACTGACCTCGCTGGCGACGCGCACGAACCTCTTGCCCAGGGAGGCGAGGTTCGCGACGCTCTCGTGGCCGGTGCGCGGCCACTGGATGACCACGCGCTCATCGTCGCCTCCCTGCCTGATGACTTTGGCAATCCTGCCCTGGTCGCCGTCTCTGTAAAGGTCCTTGCCGCCGTCCCCGACAAACGCCTTGCCCGGGCGCACCTTAAGGCGGTCGCCGACCTTGACCTGGGCGAAGAAGGTCTCATACGGGACCTCGGGGTCGTCCCCCTGTTTCGCCCAGTCCGGCCTGAGGGCCGCCTCCTCCTCGGCGGAGACCTCGGTGGGGGCCACGGCCATGCGCCGCGACCCCGAGCCGATGGCTATGGACGGGGCGGCGGCGAGCTGGCCGCGGGGGGCGTAGCTCCAGAGCAGCTCCCCGGACACGTCGAACTTCCGGATGGCGTCGTCCGACCCGACGTAGATGTTCAGCTCGCTGTCGATGAGGGGCGCTCCGACCGGGATGGTGCTGAAGACCCCGTTCGGGTGGTGCCACCCCCACGAGACGTTGTCCGTGAGGTCCCCCGCGCCGGCGTAGAGCGAGTTGCCGCGGCTGCTGGAATCTGGCCAGAAAGCCCCTTGGGTGCTGTGGGCCTTCCTGATCTGCCGGGCGCTGTACCGCGTGACCCCGGACTTGCTCATCACGCCGACGTGGGCGGCCGATCTGCCCTGCCCCCCTCCGTGCCCGGCCCCTGCCTCCCGGTCGAAGGCCACGGAGATCGCCCCTGCGAGCGACACCTGCTGCGCCACGGCCCAGAATGCGCGAGCGGCCATTGGGAACCCTAGCCTGTGCAAAGGCGACGACCGCAACCCGGTCGTAACAGTACGGTATCTGGAACCAGCGGAGCACGATGCTGGAGCCCCAACGGTGTGAGCCGAAAAATGGCTTGAGCCCAGATGGCCATGCGGAAAGCGGCGGCCCGGGCGGCGAGGACGCCCGACGGAGACCAGGCACGGGCGAGAGGGAAAGCGGAAGCAGGGCGGGGACATGGATCGGCGGTGGACAGACCTCCCTGTAGTAAACCTCCCCGCAGTGAAAGCGGCCTGGGACCGAAACCGACGGACCTGGACCCGCAAAGATGACGGCCGCGACGCCCTCTCGCGAACCGGAAACGGCCAATTCCTCAATCGACGTGTCGGGGTAGGAGGTCTGTCCACCTCCGAATGGAAGCACACACACACACACACACTTCTTGGCGATCGCGCCACGAGGTGGAGCAAGTCGAGCAGACGGCACAGGGCAGACGCGCGCGGCCGGGCCCTCCGACGCGGACCCACACTGGATCGACCCCGCACACCTCCACCCGGGCGGGGAGGGGAGTGAGAGAACACGCAGACACTTTTTCGTCAGCGGCGAGGCGGCGAAGTAAGCTCCTGCGAACAGCCAGGTAGGGGAACCAACTAGCGAATTGGCCGGCGTGCAAGGAGGGAGGGGCAAACACACACAAACACACACACACACACACATACACACACACACCCACACACACACACACACACGCGCACACACACACACACACACACACACTCTCTGTCGCAAACCGGCACGTGCCCGCGGGAGCTGAGGCCCGACGCCGGCGGAGCTCGGGGGGCAGCAAGATCGGGGAGCACGAGGGCGCCTCGGGCCACGCCCGGGCCCCCGATCTGCCCCAATGTCCGCGCGCTCCCCACGTCTCCCCACCGGAACGCCAGGCCCCCGGGCACCCCCACAGATGGTGGAGGCCAGCGCACGCAGCTCGGCCGGCCCACGCGCACGGCGAGCCTGGCACGAGGCCGCACCAGGGAAGCCAAAAGGCACCCATCCCCGGTACTCCCATCTGTTCCCCAGACTGCGAGGCGGGGATGGATCCACATCCACCGCCTGGGAGCCAACGTCCTGGTGCCCCAGCGGGCGGTGGATATGGATACATTTCGGCCCCTGGGGGCCCGAATATGTCCATATCCACCGCCTGCCGAGGCTCCGAAAACTGACCCTCCAGGCGGTGGTCGTGTATAAATTCCCGCCTTGGACAGACCTCTCCTGGGATGCGTTCTGACCAGAAGAATCTCGAGGCGAATCCAGCCGTGGCGAGGAGGGCCTCCCAGGAGGCCCGAGAAGGCGAGAAACCGAGTCAGGGGTGGGCAGGCGGCATTCGGTACCTTTTCCGACTCTAACGCAGGGTGCGCCCGCTCCCGCGGTCACGGGGTTCAACGACATACGTTACGATACGATACGATACGATACGACCACCGCTGCGGGCACCGTCCGGGCCTAGCTAAGGCCAGGTGGGCAAGGCCGTGGCCTCAGAAATCCGGCGTGCCTGGACAGCATGCAATTCGACACACGCGTGTAACAAGTCATGAGTGGAGGGGGGAGGGGGCTCCACGACCACGAGAAGGGTCCGATTTCAGCCGCACGCGAGGCCGTCGAAGCGCGGTCGCTCTCTGGCGGCCGTCCTCGGCGGTCGGCCGCCGCGCGCCTCCTCAGCTCGGCGGCCAGAGCCTGCCCGTATCGCCGCGACGCCGCCAGGAAGCCCTGCTCCTCCCAGGGGGGGTCCCTCCTCCTTCTCCTCCTCCTCCTCCTCCTCCTCCTCCCTCCCTCCCTCCCTGTAACGATGTCAGTGTGTACAGGCCTCGTTTGCCTACTGAGAGTTGTTTCCCAGAGCAGTGTTTCACATAGCAGTTTAGCAAGCAGCTCCTATCGAGACGCTTCTTCGACGCTCAATTATGGCTCAAGGCTCAAGTCTGAGAAACCAACATTGGTAGCGTTGACGTGCTTCGCTGTCTTGCTTCGGCCCTCCGCCGCCGCCATAGCGCCGCCGCGACCCGCCAGGCCGAGACGTGCATCTTCATATCCTACAGCTCAATCGAGAGTGTCTACAATCTCATCTGCAGTGCAAGACCCTTGGCATCAGCTTCGAGGTATTCCTGATGTTAATATTCTCTCTACTTGTTGGAGCAATGGCGCAGGATGCTCACAGCGAATCTGGCCTTCCCCTGGACACCTTCATCAAGAGTGTACCGCCGGGTTGGCGAGTGGGCGTGCCGAAGTATCCTCTTCGACGGTATACGCAACTTCTACGTCTCTGGTGGAGGCGGACAGAAATCTCTGAGAGTGCTTGTGGACCTGCCATGGCGGGCAGGTTGAGAGGAGCAGCGTTCCAGATCGCGAACACCATCAAGGAGCAGCGCCTCGACCTGGCCACTGGACTGGTTCGAGAGATGATTGGTGACGAGTTACTGTCACAGCCGAATCATGAAGCTTGGCAGAATGGAGCTGGGCAAAGGTTTCCGGCAAAGCATGCCAGAGCTACCCTTCTCTTGCAGGCCCTCACCCGCGAGTTCGGCATGCAGGAGCAGGAGATGAATGATCAGTCTCTGGACGCGTTCTTTCTACATCATCGCAACAGCATGAGTCTGAGCGACTACCTCACGATGTGGCGCATGACGTACGACGAAGCTAACCCGAAAAGCGGGTTTGAGATCAACAACGTTGGGTAATATTACATTATCTTGCGGACATCCGTCCTCAGTGATCGCCGCAAGGACGATATCAAGCTCAAGCTCGATGGCAACCTGGCTCGCTGCGAGGACTTGATGACGATACTACAGCGGATGGCCAATACAGAGCAGAATAGTGGATCTTCGATTGCAGAAATGGTCAAACAGCATTACGGAGATCGAGATGAAGAATGGCAAGATGACAGTTGGAGCTGGAACGACAGCTGGGACGAGTGAACACCTGGTACCGCTACGACGACGAATCTCAGTGGACAGAGGACGCAGAGTGGCAATCAGGTGATTGGTCTCAACGCATTCCAGCAGCTGGCGATGGTGCAGCCCAACATGATGAATATTATGGTAAAGGACGAGGAAAAGGTAACAGAAGTTCGAGCAGTTCTGGAAAATGAGATGGTTGTACCAGATGTGGTCCAAAGATTCACCGAATGGATCATCAAGTTCCAGCGGCAAAGGTAAAGGTAAAGACAAAAGCAGTTCCAGAACATCTTCGAGCAAAAACAAAAGGAAAAGGACGAGGCAAGAGCAAAAGCAAAGGCAAGAGCCGGATGGGCAAGTCTCGATCGAAGGGTGTTTTTACGGTGAGTATGGTGGGTGGTATGATAATTCATCGGAGTTTGGATATGGCAACAACTACGATGATGGATCGGCATATTTCACCCGGGCGGGCAACTATCAGCAATACTTCACTTGGACAGCTCCGAGGCCTGGAATCTTCAGCCCCTAACCGACATCTCCTACGGCACCGATCGAGATCCAGACATCGACACCCGAGCCTACAGCTACGCCAGCAGGAACAACTGGTTCTTTCGAGTTCCTGGCGGATACATGTCCGAAGACTCCTATCATTCAGACAGAGCTGCCTCCCAAGACGCCGCCGAAGCTCATACCAGAAGTGGATGCTGATGATGATGGATGATAATGGTGATCCTCAGCTGACGACGATGACGCGAACCCTCAGCGCTTCAAGCCCCCGCCGGAAGAGGAGGAGACCTTCGACGGCGACACTCCCATGGACGACGGCATCGGGTACGGTCAGATTAAGCGTGGCATCTTCATGACCACAGATGGCCCCGCCAAGGACTTCAGCACGATGCACACCGTTCGTGGCAAGGAGGTTAAAGGTTTGATAGTGGATCCAGGAGCGGCAGCTGGTATCATGGGCGCGGGCACGACGAAGGATTCGTTAAGGAACGATGAAGGATTTCGTTAAGGAACACTTGAAGAGTGCAGGTCTTCAGTACGAGCTCGAGCCCAGCACCAGCACCTCCTCCGGCATTGATGGACAGTCAGATCCTGGACTAGCAGGTTAGGACGATGCCGATTGGAGTTTCTGGATGCAGCGATATCACCTTCAAGGCAGATTTGATGGGCGGTACTGACTCCTGGACTACTTCCTGACCCATCGCTGTTGCAATACACCGCCGCTCTCTTCTGCGACATCCTTGACAATCATGATGCAGTTCTGGTCCCGAATACTTCTGCCCCGAATGGCAGGAAGAGAATATATTTTATCCGAGTTCATATTACGGACAGTGGTCACTACCTATGTACTACCCAGCGGCAAGTTCGGTCAAGAGAACGTTGAACAATATGTTGAAAGATGCAGTTCGCAAGAATTGCCGGAACACTCTTGGCCAACACGTTACAGAAGACAAAACATCTATTCAGCTCCATGGTCAGGCCTCGAGAACGGAAAGCAGTAACACGCCAGGGGGTCGGAGGTCGTGTCGGGCTCCAGCGTGCCCCAGCCCGCCATGGCCGCGCGGGCGAGCGGCAGCGCCCCAGGCTGCCGGAGGCTGACGCCGAAGTGGTTGGCGACGGCCGCGAGCACGCACCGAGCCTCGTCCTTCGACCTTTCGGCGACGAGCGATTCCTCGAAGAAGCACTCCAGCGCCGAGTCGATGGCTGGGAGATCACGGAGCATCCACCGCGCTGCGTCCAGGCCCATCTGGGCGGCGAATTCGCTGAGGCTCGCTCGGTGCCGGGCGGCGGTGGCGGCGGTCACCCTGAAGCGCCTGAGGAAGCCTGGATTGTAGTCGACTGGCCCCCTCCGAGCCGGGGCGGCCAGCTGGCCGGCGGGCCGCCGCATCACTGGGGCGCGGGCGGCGCCTGCCCTGGGCGCCAGCGAAGGGCCGCGAGGGGCCCCAGACTGCGCCCCACTGCTTGGCGCCTGGCGGCCAGTGGGACCGGGCGCGCAGGACACGGCGGGCACTCCAGCGGCGTGGGGCCCGCTCGCAGCCCGCAGCCCGGCAGAGGTCAGCCCCCCATCGGTCCTCGAGTAGTGGGGCACCATCGGGTCTCCACGCGCCTCGCGGCGCGACGTCGGCGGGGATGCCAGCGGCGAGGTGGTAGAGGACAGGGGGGTAGGCGCCTGCCAAGGTGGTCTCCCACGAGTGCTTGAGCCGACCCTGCGAAGTACGCACCGGCACCTTCCCCGCCAGATGCTCGTGAGCGTGGCCCCCGAGGCGATGCATGCCCAGCCCCTGCATGGCCCCCAAGCTCGAGACGATCGCGGCGGGCTTCTTGCAGGAGGCCCCGAAGCGACAGCAGTCGCACGTGGGCCAGGAGCGCCCGCGCAAGTCCGGGAACTTCCGAAGTGGGGCCCATCGGACGAGGCCCGAGGACTGCGGGTTCTCGAGAGACCAGCGGGTCCCGTAGCGGGCGCAGACCTCCAGGAGGCGCAAGGTGACGCGGGCGCAGCGGCGGGCAGCCCGGACGGCGGACACCTCTCGGGCCCCTCGGCGAGATATGGACCATGGAGTGCACGGGTCCCGAAATGAATGTACCAGACGACCCGAGAAGAGATCCAGGACGGGCCAGAGACTCGAGGTGGGGTCGGAGACGAACCACCTCTCGCCAGCGGCCGCTGGCCCAGGGGAGGCTGGGTACCCAAGGATGTCGCCCAGGGCCCTCGCTTCGACGTAGTACTGCCGCACCTCCTCGGGATCCACGTCGTTGTCGTCGTCGAACACGTACATGCTGCCATTGTGGCGGGCCGGGAAAGCGCCACCGCGTTGCAGGGCGCAGACGCGGAAGCCGGCGAGGTTGGCCGCCGCGATCTCGCCGTCGGGCGTGACCCACACCCACCACTGGTCCGGCCCCTTCACCAGCAGCACGCGGTGGTGCCATTGGAAGTTCGGGTCGACGTCGTACCGCACCAGGCACTGGGCGTAGGGGACGCCAAGCGCCCTCGGCATTCACGGCACCCGCGCGCCGCCGCACGCGCTGCAGTATGGCCGGGGTGGCGACTGCGGCCCCGCCTCGAGGGACTCGAGGGGCGGGCTCGTCCCGCGCCAGCCCGTCGGCGAGGGCCAGCGCCTCCTCGGGGGCGCCGACCGGCGCCGCTCGCTGCCACCAGACGGCCGCTGCGGCCACCCCGGCGGCGAAGCCAACGACCCCGAAAAGGACCGCGACGAACCAGGGCCCAGGAGGGTTCTGCGGCGCCGGGCACTGCGGGCAAACGCAGGCTGGGCAGATGGGGCAGCTCGCCCCGAGGTGCTCCCGGAGGATCCCCAGCACGCCCGAGCCCGGCTCGAGTCCGCTGAAGACGTAGGTGCAGGTGGTGTCCGCGGGTGGCGGGGCCGACTAGCGGGAAGAGAGGATGCCCAGGATCCAGCCGGCAGCGGCCTGCATGTACTGGCAGGCCTGGCCGACGCCCAAATCGCTTGAGCACAGGAGGACTGCGGATGCAAGCGTATTCCGAGCGTACGTTTACAGTAGCCCCATCTGTGGCCCAAAATCGGGCGTCCATATTTTTGAAAATATTGACGCCCCGTTTTCGGACGAGGGGCGGAGGTGTAAAAACCGTGCGGCGCAAGAATTCGCTGGAGGCCTGCTGGACAACACACCAAGCGCAAGCACAAACAATATCCGATGGCACCTCCTCCAGGACTTCATGTTCCAGATATGCCGACGGTACCAGTACCTATGGCTCCTACGCCTGCTGCGCCAAGGAGATTGGCTATTCCTGGAAGCCCAATACCTTCACCCATGGAGAATGAGCATGTCGAGGCTCATACG